TCACATGGCACAGCTGATTGGTTCTCTCCTGTATCGGTAGCCAATGAGCTCGCTGCTCAACATTCAAATATATACTAGTGCTTGCCGTAGCAGTTGCTGCTTGCTTCAGAAGCCCTCCACCTTCCCCAGCTCCACCTGTATAGATCTGCTACGAGGTGATTCATGTATGCTATATGGGGGTTTTATATATATATATATATATATATATATATATATATCTATGTATGTATATATATTTCTTGCGGTCTATACAGAACACTAGGAATTTAATCTCAAGTCCAGTTGCATTGCATTGTGGGAAACATTATTGTACTCCATGTTTGTTGATATGTTGTGTTGTAGGTGGATGGAGGTTATCCGCAGCGCCACCTGCTCCTCCAGTCACATCCGCTCACTGAGCCGCAAAGAGCCGCACGTCTACTGACCAAAGACCCTCGACAGCCTGCCTGAACACACACACATGTCTGGTTCTCTATCAGGTCTTCTCAACACACTTTAACATGTTTCTTATGGAAGTTTTTCGTGTGCTATATCGTTGTTTCACTTTTTTGAAAAATTCAGAAGGCTTTGAATGGGTTTAGATGTAAAGATTTGTAACAAGAATATGGATTCAGTGCCAGAAAATACACATTATCACAACATCAGGTCAAAGAGAAACACTTCCAGTTTTGCAGTTCATTTTAAATTTGCAAAAGACACAAAATCCTCATTAGTAAACAACAGTACTCGTTCATGAAATGCAAGAACTGATTTGTGTAAATCATTCGTAAAATTTGTAAGAATGCTTTCAGGAATGATTCATTGAATTGAATGCAGTGGTTATGTTGAATGCGATGATTTATTCTTTTGAAAGTTTTATTGATTTGTATATGAGAGTGTTCTATAAATGGTTTATTGAAGGTTTTAGTGTACATGAGACTGGTTATACTGAATTGAATGTGACTGTTTAAGCTGAGAACAGCTTTACGAACAATTTACACATGAATTTATTGTTGGTGTTTCATGAATGAGGCCTAATGCCTGTAAAATTGGTCAGTGAAACATCTCTGGACTGTTTTTAAATGTAGTAACTCTAGCCTTTTATTACTGACTTCTGGTCTGATGTTTTTAAATGGTTGACGCTTTCTGTCTACATCTCAGTGAACAAAAAACAAAAACAATGTGCAGGTCATATTTCACTCCAAAATTGCTTGGAGAGAAAAAAAAAATATTTTTTTTAAGAATTAAGTTTTTGTTTTTGCATTGAAAATTGGCCTTTTTTTTGTGCAATTAAGTGTTTAGTTTTTTTTTCCTTTACAATTTGCCCTGAATTTTTTATTATTGTAATGCAAACGAATATAGAGTACAATTGTTAGTTTACATAATGGTATTACTTTTTGTGCAGAATTAAAATTTATCTGATTTTCATTAAAACACTATTCTATTTTTCAGAAAAACATGCTTGTTAAAATAAGATTTTTTTATTCATTTTTATGTCAATTTGCCCCATAATGGTATTACTTGATGTGCAGAATTGATTGATTTTAGTTTAAAAAAACAACAACAACTGATTTTCACTAATGTATTACAGTAATTTTTTGAGTTTGTCATGAAAATGTCGCAAGGGAAAAAATCTAATTTTTAATAATTATTATTATTTTTAATTTTTTGGGGTGAAATGACCTGTGCGTCTCAGCTCACACCAGTAGACGCGTCTATGGATTTGTAATGTTTTAGGTCGGTTTTACGGCACATGCTGCCTTCAAGCATTTGTACCACACTCAAACCTTTCTTTTGTAGTATTTCATTTTTATACAAGTTTTGATACTAACTGTGAACCACTCCACACTAATTTTGTGAGGGATTTACTACACAATCCCTCATAGTTAGCCATTATTCTGTCATGGTACAAGAAAAAAAAAAAAGAAGGAAGCCAGCTGCCTTTTGTCGAACTGCTTGAGTGCCAAAATTCTTCTCTTTAACCTTTTTTTAAGCATTTGGAGCATTTTAATTCTTTCTTAATGCACATATATATATATATATATATATATATATAAACCAAAAAAAAATACAATATGGATTATATGTTGGCAGAAATGTATGTTTGACACTGTGTGAACATGTTCAGAATAAACAAATCCATATATATATAGATGTGCTGCCTTTGTCATTTACATTTTGAAAAAACAAAATTGAAAACATTCTGAATTATGTTATTGTAAAGTGCAATTTAGAAAACTCATAATAAACACTTCTACAGCATATGAACAAATACACCTGATCTCTAGATATACAGTACTAGTGTGTTTTGCTAGTGCACTACATTTATTCAAGATTAAGTGTCCATCATTTTTTACATATTATAATAGATTGTTCCCAGATCCTTTTACAGTTGACTCCTTTGCAGTCCCTTAAATGAATTTCCTTATAAATTTGTCCTTTGATCCTGGTACTTTTTAAGGTATCACATATTTATATACCACAAATTTAAATTAATGTCATCTGATACCACATTAACAAAAAGGGTCCAAAATTAACACTTGCCGAGTGCCAATAAAAAAAAAGGGGGGGGTTTTCAGTACTGAATAAAACGAAATGATCAGATACTAGAGTGTAAATGTAGATCACACATGAATGAACTGACATAGAATGTCTAAAGAAAACATCTGGCATCTAACAACGTTAGATAATATACCATCAGAAGTTGATCTAGGATGTCTCAAGATTTTTTTTTCTTCCTGTGATATGAAATATTCCTCATATTTATTTGCCAAAACTAAAAAATCTCAGTGTAATCTCAGGGTTTCCCTGAGAGACATGAAGACATGACGACCAAAGCCAATCAAAGACCAGTATATTTCCTAATTGTTGTCTTAATAAATAAAAATAAAATTGTTTGCCACAGCTTTATTTCTGCTGTGCAAGGAAAAAAAGAAAAAGAAAATCAATCAAAACAGTAGTTAAAATAAAAACTAGTGCATTTCCTAATATTTGTCTCCTGTCTTTCATTTAAAAAAATGCAGAAATTCCATACATTTGTCACTTATATGCAAGGGAATAATTAGCTAAATCTCATAAGAACAGAAATATATTTCTAATAAATAATAATAATGCAAGATACAGTTGTTGTTTTTTTTGGAAAACATCTGAATGGAAAGTGACGTGACACTGGCAGGTGTGGTAAAATGTGAAATTCTGGACCCTGTTGTTAACTGATACCAGTACAGTATTTACTTAGGGCTTCTGTCCTCACGAGATATATATTCCAGTCCATGATCACCATTCGCATCATAACTCTCATATGTTGGGTTTTGGAGCCACTCGGGTTGGTATGTAGTCGTGCTGTACACAAATGTCTCCACAATGCTTCCAGGCTTCAGTGTGTTTTCCCCTTCACCGTCCCCGTCCTGCACCTCCAGCTGGACTGCAGTGCGCTGGTACATCTTTGGACAGCCTTCAAACCTGTCCAGGAAGTGCAGCATCTGCTGGTCCACACTGTAGATTTCACTGTAGATTTCACCCGTCCCGGGCACGTTCAGCAGGAAGGGGATATTATATTTGGTGGCGATCACGAGAGGGTATCGCTCTACGGTTCGAGCGTGAGCAAGGAACTCGGCCCGGCCGTTGGCAGCATCCAGCATCCTGCAATTGGGCTGGCCTTTCTTCAGCGTGCCGTAGACGAAGGCACGATACATGTGAACCACAGGAAAGACAACACTAACAATGAGCTGTGGTGAAAGAGACATCATTGTCATTCAAAATCAACTCACTGACAATTAAAGGTCTTTTTGACTGGCTTTCATCCAGGGGTGCGTGGAAAAGATTGACATTGACATCTCATGATATTTCCTACTACTAATTAATTTATTACATTTATTTAAAGAATTTAAACTTGTGATCCGTTACGCATTATATAAGTTAGTAATTTAAGCAAATGTTCTTGTTTACAGCAATTGATCTAAAAATCTCAAAAGCTTTTTTAAAGGGGTCATATGATGCTTTTTTAAAGATCATTGAAAGGAAAACTTGAAATCGCATCATATGACCCCTTTAATACTGAGGGCCAATGTGTCTGTTGCCTAATATTTGTTAGATATTTTGTTCCAAAGTGTATAAACATTTGTATGATTTTGTATCACCTTTCACATAGATATTTACAATAACTTAGTTACGTAAGATGATGTTTAAACTAAAGTAATTTTAAAATGATCTAAAATGTAGCGTTTTTGACACTGATGACCCATGTGTCTTTAAATATTAGACAGAAAAGTCTATAAACATTTGTATGATTTTATATCACTTCTGACATAGATATTTAAACAGATATATTCATTTTTCTCACATACCAAATACATGATTTGTTGCACACAGCAGAAATACAGCTGTAGGAAACCTTAGTACTTCAAATACAAATAAAACATAAAATATAACATTTTGATAATAGTGTCAAATGTTGACCCAAACAATATTTATCTAGAAGTAAAATTACAGAATGACAAATGTTCATGTCTTTTACATATTATTAAAATTTGTAAATTTTTACATGCATATTTATGTATAGTTATTTAATAGAATTAACAGTTAATAACGTGCTAGTTATATAGATCTGACAATTAGTTGTTTATCACATAATAAAAGCATGCAAAATACAAATATACAGTAGGCCTATGCATATTTAATCAAATGACGTTCATTACGTTTTCAGACGGTAAAGTTTCAAGGAAATTGACTTCTATTCAAGCCAAGCTGTCTTCTGCTCATTTAAAAGAGCAGTTCAGTTCACATGAAAACACAACAACACTAAGCACAAGAACTCTTATCATATGATAAGCGATTAGTCAACAGAAGGTATCCCCCAATTGTAAGTCGCTTTGGATAAAAGCGTCTGCAAAATGACTAAATGTAAATGTAAATGTAAATATGATGCACATAGATACTCGCTGATATTAAATCAGTTCTCCAAACATCTAAACGGGAAGAAAACGACTTATCTTACCAATAATATAATGAATCCCCAACAACATCTGCCATACGCTAGTGCTAGTCCACCAGTCAAGACAGGCAGCAAAATACTCATTTCATTGTTCATTGGATAAAGTTGAATTGTCACTCACCTGCAGTTAAACCAATTAATGTTGCCGTTTCAAAGCGGGTCCCGCCTTCTGAATGTTTGCCGTTGCTACGAGATTTTCGGCATCAGTGAACAGTGTTGGGGAAAGTTACTTTTAAAAGTAATGCATTACAATATTGCGTTACTCCATAAAAAAGTAACCAATTACGGTACTTAGTTACTTTTTATGGAACGTAATGCGTTACGTTACTTTTACGTTACTTTTCAAATCTGGACAGGGCTTGCTTGTTTGCTTTTAAAATAAAAAAAGTTATATTTTTGGCAAATATAGAAGCCTTTTCACACCAAAAGTGAAATGAATAAGCCTCAGGCTGAAGGGAAAGTAAATTTACGTCCGTAATGCAGAAGACGACATTTCAACATACTTCAGCAGTAAAAAAAGACACAAATGTTTGTCTAGAGTAATTTGTGCTTATTAGTACGGTTGAACTGGATCATCGAAGGTCAGAAGCAAAGACATTGGTTAATAGAATGGGATTAAATACATAAAGGATATTTGTGTTGTTTAACATTTAATTATTGCAGGTTTGCGTCATATTCTGAGTTGCATTATTTTTATTCATTTTGAGGAATACTGAATCTGTGTTTTTATTTTTGTGTGTGTGAGTGAGATGAATTAATGCATATTCATATTTATTTTAGAACTACAGTAACATCTTCTGATTTATCTCAGCATGGAGACAGGAGAGCTGTCAATCAATAAATTGAAAAAAAAAGTAACTTGTGTTACTTATTTGAAAAAGTAACTCAGATATTCTCTTGTAAATTAAAAAGTAATGCGTTACTTTACTAGTTACTTGAAAAAAGTAACCTGATTACGTAACTCGCGTTACTTGTAATGCGTTACCCCTAAGTCAGTGAATATTCGTGAATTTCCCGGACATGCGTGTGGAACTGAGAATTTTAGTTTACGCTCTCGGCAGGTTTAATGGAATATTTAAAAATGTGTAAATTAAAATTATGTAAATACATACAGACAGGCAACAAGATAAAGTAATGTATAGTTTTCAGGCTTGTCAAACTACACACACTAATGACAGTTTTTCACATTTGCTAAGACACTAGCCTACACCCCATTCTCTGAACCAAATTCTCAATAGCCTAAATCAATTTGTCAAATAAATCACTCCTACTGCAAAACCTTATACAAGTTAAGAGAGTTTAGACACTGTTTGCAGATCTCATGCACTCTTTTTTTAAAACTCTAAACACATTCTCACTCAAACGCAGTTTGCGCTGTGAAAAACTTGTGATGCAAAACCCTAAACACAAGAAAGTAAAAGTTAAGCACAATTCTGCACCACGGTTGTCATTGTTTACACACAATAATTCAAAACTGTTCACACTTGTTTCTAAATATGTGAATGTACAAAATATAAGCCAGTTCAAAGTGTACGGTGTGGGTGTGTACACAGAAGAGGAGGTGGAGGAAGAGCAAGACCAAGAACAGTCATTTCAAATGAAATCAGAGCTACTGTGATAGACCATTTTCTTGTGCATGGAATGATAAAGGCAGGACAAAGAGTTCAACCTAATTTGAGCTAAATTGATTCTCTGTGGCCACCATAATCAGTTGGAAAGTTCAAAAGAACAGCAAAAGAAGAGTGGAAGAGAATCTTGTGTAAGATTGCAAGACTATAGGGTGGAAGAACTGGCCTGTGGTGACATCAAAGTGCTGTCTTGTCAAGGCTGGATCCGCCACACCAGAGGATTTTTTCCCCGTTGCCTGCCTGCGACGTAGATGAAGACCTCTGATTCTTTTTTATACTTGTGTGTGTGTGTGTGTATGTATATGTGTATTAACCAAACTTAGGTGTGATTTCTTTTGTTTGTGTTTGTGTGTGTGTGTGTGTACCTACTTAACCATATTTTGGTGAAAAATTTGTACCCAAAAGTGAGCAAAACTTGACAAAATCACCAAAAAAAACCTCGATTTGGGGACGTCCTCATTTGTAAAACTGGAATAAAATTAAAGTAAACAAAGTTTTTTTGAAATTGTAAAACTGCAGAAAATTTTCTGTGAGGGGTAGGGATAGGGGTGGGTTTAGGTTAAAAAGTATTTCAGGACATTACAAGGACATTACATAGACTTCTATTGTGTATATAAAAACAATAGAAGTCTATGTAATGTCCCCATTTAGATAGCTAAGTAAAGTGTGTGTGTGTGTGTGTGTGTTTATTGCAAAATATTTACTAACTTTTTGTTTTGTTTTGTAACTGCACTGGACACTGTGGACAATGTGTTCTCAATTTTTTGATGTAGTGTCTAATGAATGAACTGTAGTGTGTTGATTTTGCCAGAAGAGTCAGGGGTTCTGTGAATTTAGTTTGAATGTTTGGATTTGTGTTTAGGTTTTGAGAAAATGAGTGATGGTTTCAATAAATGTGTTTAAGCAATTCAGAAAAACTGTAATGACACTAAATCTTAAACACTTTAAGTATTTAAAAGTTTTCCTGTTATAGTGGTGAAATGGCGCCATCTAGTGGTTAATCTGTGTATCTGAGTAAAAAGCCTGAAAGATTAAAGTTAAGATTTACTTGCACTGTACTAGAAACAATTATAAATACATTAAAATTATTTTTGTGTGTTATCGTGACTATAGTTGACATATAAAGCTATATATATATATATATATATATATATATATATATGTGTGTGTGTGTATATATATGTGTGTGCAGGCTATTACACATTTTCTATATATTAATAATACTATTAAATTTGGTTTTTGTTTTGTTTTTAATTATATATAATGCGTGTATTTTTTTTTAAATGACAAAAGGCATTTTAGTT